ACTCTTCGAACTACGACTTTGGATGAAGTTGACACCTAGATAATTTAGAGTACATACGTGTCCGTGTATTCGAATATTATTTGTTGTAACGTCAATAAACACAAAGAGATTATTTTCACCTCGCACATTAATCAGAAAGTTCTGAATGATGTTCACCTTACTTTCTAGAAATACAATTACTCGAGGCCAACATTATTCCTCAAACTGGGGTAGTGCCTGTTTGAAAAACGAAGTTTTAAGGACTAAATCATACCTTGTATGTCTTCCTCATTATGGCTTTGAAGGATTTATCTACAGCTTGGAACATTTTAGCCTCATGTGGAAGTTGTCTTTGGATATCAGGAGCACAAAATATCGATTCTAAGTACATCCAGTTTTGTTGGCATGTCAACCAGGAATCCTGTTGAATAATGCATTCATTTAGAGCAGGGTTCATCAGAATGGTGGTTCGGGTACAAAGAGCTGCTGGAAGCAGCCGGAGTAGAACGCAGGGTCTTTAGAAAGAGCGGTGTCTGTTAAGGTCCCGAAGTGTAGAGGCGAAGGGTGGGACGACTCATTGTTTGTTTCAAGCAAGACGTCATTGTAAAATTTGTGTGCACATCATGGAAGAGGAAGCTCTCGCACTGTCTGCTGATATTTCGAAGTGAATAGATATCTGATTGATGTGTTTCCGGGTACTGCTAAGGTTATTAGTCCCGTAAGTGTTCGTATCACGGGAGGTGGTAGTGATCTTCCCGCGCTGGTTGACGAGATCCGGCGCTGAACAAGACGACGGCTTGCGGGTTTCCCACAATCAGGTATCCGTCACCAGCGTGGCACCGCCCAAGCCGCGACAAGATCTACGCTCCGGACTCGTCTCCCGACAAAAGTAGGAGTGTAGTACATGTATGGGTGTAAGTAATGGGATTTTTCTGGGGAGGGTGCGATGTAGTGTCCTTAAGGAGCAATCACCACTGTCCTGCAATTCATACGATTATATTCAAGATAATACTGTAAAGAAATTAGTTATAGAGTCACATTACGAATTGCTAAGCTACTTTTTCTGGTGATTTGTAATGTAATTCATAGATAAATATATTTACACATTTATAAAATTTCAACATTTATTGTTAAAAGCGCAAAACATAGAAATATTTGAAAGGAAAATTCTCAAAAAATGTTCGACACGACCAAAGTAAATGAACAAATCTGGAGAAGAGAAATTAATTAGAAGGCTTAATACAGAAAAAAAATAAGATGTGTAAAATCCAAAATGATAGCTTGGCATGGACATTAAAAAAATGGATGTTAACAGAAGTACTAAACAAATCACGAGCTGCAAGCCTCTTAACAACTCTAAAAAAAGGATGGCCGAGAATCATATGGGAAATGACGTGCTTCAGGTTCCAAAACTTATGAACATTAAGAACATGAAGAAACAAGCAAGAGACAGAAAGGAGTGAAGTAAAATACTTGAGTAGGCCAAGAAGAAGAAGAAGAAGAAAAAGAAGAAAAATAAGAAGAAGACTGTCGAAAGAATTTAATCATATTTCTTCGTTCAAATATCATATTTGGTGTAATAGTTTGTTTAATTATTACTGTATAATGTCGGTGCTGGTAAGAATAATTATTAATACACAACAGACGGATGAACACGAACGAACAGGTTGATATTTTGTTATAAATCAATTTTTCGATATTAAGGACCCAAATATAAATTATGACTTCACATCGTATTAGAGAATGAAATTTACTACATTTAGGAACAATATGTATCCTCTTTTTCGATATCCGGGCCTCACAATATAATTTTTCTGACAGAAAATTGCATTCTACCGCAGAATTGCAATTCTTTCTGTTTACTACGGAAGTATGTTGTAGGCAAGAAAGTAAAAAAGTTGATTGAATGAAGATGAAGAATTGATATGCAGAATGGAAGAAATTATTTAAGCATGAAGGTAAGTTAATTGAATACCGCAAAAGTATAATAAAAATCCCAATGCGACCCAAGTGGTCAGTTAGTATGCATGTTTGCAGCAGTGTGCCAAATGTCTCCGGCGGCAACACAATGTAGATACTCCAACTCCGTTTCATAAAAAGTGTAAAGATGACTGACCCACTAGCAACGTGCATCAGACACGAAGAGTGTTCTGCAATTCGGTTTTTACGAAATGAATGAGTGAAACGCACTGACATTCTTCGACAAGTGAAGGTTCAGTATGGTGATGCCTGCTTGTCACAGCTTATACAAATTCCTGGAGGGGGCAGATCAATAATTTAAGCCAAATTTAAGTACATCATCTTATCGTTATCTTAATGTCAATTAGCGTCTATTCACAAAATTACAGTGATTACAGAAAAACATTCATTAGTATTTCAGAATACTCACCATTGTTTTGCTAAATAAATCTAAATTCTTTGCCCATTCATCCACTCTTGGTTTAATGGGGCCAACATGGCGTGAACTAGCGATGGTGTTAATTGCAATCAAACTGTCATCGAGTATCTGCTGAATATCTTCAATACCGGCCAAAATAAACACGTCTTTGTAATCTCGATGAGGCAGCACAATGAATTCAGCAGACTTCCAGGAATCTTCAACCTATAATTAAATCAGCACAGCGATTCAGTACACTCATCACAAAATAAAACAACATCACCAAAATCCTAATACCTTTTTCAACATTGCTTCCAATCCAGCTTCGGAACTCGCTTGTCCAGAAACTTCTTGCAATTCCTCTGCGTGATCAAATGTTCCAAGTTCTTGAAGTGAAGCAAGCGTAATCTTATCTTCGGGGGCAAATTTGTGGTCAAGTACATGTTCAATTTGTAACCAATGACGTGGCTTCAAGGCTGGATTTCGCAAATTTGTAATGGTAGGTAGCTGCACAGACGCAATAACATAATATACATTGGTAAGTTGTTTTTCAACGAATATCAATAGGAATCTAAAGAAACATTATATGTACAATTTCTAACAAAATCGGTATGAACGGAATGAGTATTTGAATATTTTTCTTTAGAACACGAGAAATTAAGTATAGTAAGGAAAAAACATTAATTATTTTCACTTTTTATCCCTTACTTTCTAAGAAGAGTAATTATTGAAATCGTGCGCCGAAAAATGGCGAATTTTCAACAGGAAATTCTTATTGCCAGGTCCTTGTAATGAAAAATTGCATAACTCTTGTTCCTATATATAACAGTAAATTACTTGAACTTCCTCTATCACTTTGTGTAGTCAGTATTTCTGATCTCCGATTTCCCTGATTATAGTGCCTGATTTTCAAAAACTTTCAAAAGATCAAACCTTTTATTAGCGTCTTCTTACGACTGCAAGATAGAGATTTTTTTATTTAATGAAATCTCTTCTTCAAAGATAGGTTTTGAAATAATGGTGTGTACATTTCTTCGAAAATGCGAGTAATTTTCTATAATTTTTGCATGAAATTTAGGCAATTTTTAAACTATTAATATAAAAAAACGGTTCCAATTTATTTATTTAGTTTTTCCCCATATGAACCAAGGTAAAAAGTGGTAGTATGTGCTACTGACAATAGGTGACCAAATAACCATCATATTGACAGTTTTAGTATTTACAGTTACTTTCTCTAAAGTGTTGTGTGATCAGAATTCACGTTTTGTCGGTCCTTGATACCTAAAAATCAAAACGTCTGTCAGTCCGTGTGTGATATCGCCTAAATTGTTTTGACAATGTTCTCCAAAATTGATATTTTGCGATCAATTTGAACGAATTTGAGGCTTCACAATTTTTAAAACGGGTATTTCGTATTATTGGGGTACTTTAGGCAGAAGCATCATTTCCAAAATTTTCTTAAAAATGGCTCTAAATGTTTTACTAAGTTTTGAGTCCTCGGAAAGCGTAAAATTCGCTTAAAGTGGCGCAGATTTAATTTTAGTTGAAATCTCTGAATTTTTAAAAATTTGTTCGGTATTTTCCAATAACTACAATATTCAAGACAGATTTTTTCATAATACAATCTGTTTTTCAATGATAGATCTTAAAATAAGGTCATATAGTACAAGTTTTCGAAAAAGCAAGTAAGTTTCGCTCAATTCTGAGTAAATTATAGCACTTTTTTAAGAGTTTGTTTCTCGAAAAGGACTATTTTTTCCTTAAATTCAAGTCCAGTTTTCGGAAACTCAGTTTTTTTGAAAATCACAAAAAATTGAAATTGCAAATTACAATATTGATGATAGAGATTTCATTAAAGAAAATCTGTTCTAAAAACGTAGATTTTTTTAAAAAAGATCAGGTACATTTATAAGTAACGAGTAGATTTCACCTAATTTCAGCTTGAAGATACTGCAATTTATTTTTAAAATTTTCAAAGAGCTCCAAATGTTTCTCTTGTTTTCTGCTTGTGTTTCAACTAAACAAGCTACATCTTATCAATGATTAAGTTAAGAAAAATTCACAATTGACATTTGAATTGTTCACTTTGCCACTTAAGTTCTACTAAATACCCATAAACGTGTTCAAGAACAGCTGAGTTCAATGCACCATGGTATTCGCTACCGAATACAAAAATACTGGATCAATCAACGACAATTTGTAATACTAAATAGTTAACGTTGTGATAAGCGTAATTTATTAATGATACTTACAAAGTATATTTAAGAAGTTAGTATCAAAATACTATAAGTCTTGGTCTTTGAAAGCTGTGCTACAATCTAAGCTCTCTGATGTTAAGATATTTCGGAAAAAATTTAAATATACGAGTAATCTCACTATACGAAGATAATGTTATAGATCGTTACGTAAGATATTGTGCACCATTTGTTACCTTTGCTTTCATTTCTTCTAAGTTTTCCCTTAGAATAGGAACAATTTCATTTTCTGGTAAACCTTTTTCCAATTGATTAATATTTTTTGTGTATTGCAGTAACGTTTGGTGCATTTCTTCTGGATCCAATTGTGTGAAATCACAATTAGTCCATGTATCAATTAGTTTGTCCCAATCATCCCTGCATTTCCACATAAGTCTTCGGAGTCTCACATCGTTCATAACTTCATCAAGTAAATCCATTCTTGTCGTCTCCAACTGGAAAATCGTAGAAATTTGAAGCAATGCATGCGTCGTTGAGATTTGGACAAATACTAACACTGTTTAATTAGTCTCAAAATGTTTAAGCAGTAGTAAATCATGTCTGAAAGATGACATAATAATTCAAAGCATGAAAGTCCTAGAAAACAAATTACTAGGGAACAATATTTTTATCTCGAGGAAAGTAGAGTGCGCAACGTACTCAATTTTATACGTAGATTACGAATATCACGATAAAAACGTCATATCACGTCACAGTATTTATATATACCGTATCATACCGTATTTTGTTATTCTTCCAAATTTATTTAAATTGTACCTGCAAGATATGTAGAATCAATAGGCATGAAATCGATTTAAAGATAAAATATTTGTTCAGTTCATTTTTTTACACTGTTATAAGATATCAACAAAATTAGGCTTTTGTATTTTTTTCTTTTGTATTCGAAGATTCACGTCTTTATTCTCGCATCTGGTAGTCGCGCTTAATTACGAGATCTTAGTGGATGTTTTGAAAAAAAGTCACATGCACCCACATGTTTCCTAGAGCGCATCAGTCACCGAAAAGAATTATTTTAGCTCCTTACCTTATCGTAAAAATTCAAGCATCCACCTCTTGGGGGTGAAGATTATGAGTCAGTCTATATCATTCTGGACTTACCTGCAGTGCGCGTGTCTGGTTTGCGTGTGCCTCAAATACATTAATACATTACAGTTCGGTGAGTTTTATAAATTGAATTCGCCATATGATCTGTTGAATTGAATCGGTTCAATAAAATGCAAATCCCGACCCGATAACTTCTGTTACGTTTGTAGAACATCCGAACTTCAAGGGAAAAATGTATGAAATTACAAAACTAGTGTATTCTTTATACTTTGGCTATCGTGTTTGTGATAGGACAAACCATGGGGCGTTTACTAGTGTTGTGTCACCTGTACAACGAATCTTAGGTTATTGTTGTATGGAAATCTCAAATCATTGTCATTCGCTGTACCAATGTTGTAGAGAATACCAAAAAAACATTTTAATGACTGCATATTATTGCAAGAATATACGTATTCATTTTTTAACTTGTTCTTACCCGATATGAAACATGCTCCTAAACGTTTGTAAAAATATAATTAGTATAAGATTTTGATTTCAAATACTAAACATATTCATATATTTTAAACCTTGCGCGATAGAAACTTTTTAAAAATATTTTCTAAATCAGCGTAATCGTTTCCTTCGATATCACCTACTTCCATCCCGGAGGTATGATGTTTTTTGTTCCATAGTGTTATTAATAGGCGCAAACGATGCTTAAAAGAGCTAAAACCGTTTATCAGTGTTTCGATTGCGAACACGGCTTGACCTAATATATTGTCCTCTACTTTACAAAAAAAGCACTTAAAGAAAGATTATAGTTACATGAAACGTATGACAGTGATTGAAAGCTTGATGCGATTGCAATACCAAGGCAGAAAGACTGTCAACTGGCGAGAACCACTTTACTTACTCTTATACAGCCTCGACAGGGTCCATTATTGCGCATAATGTTTTCGCAACACATTTTTTTTAAAGCCATTGATTCAACTCCAGTCTAATAAATATAATATTAATTATGACCTAACGAGGAGATATTGGTTAAAATCATAGAATAATATTAATACAACGCAAGGAAATGAATGATATTTCAATTCATTTATCATCAATTTTGTATATTATTTTACAATTTTATTACGTATTTACGTATTCATCAACCTAATTTCTTAGGAATGAAGATGTTTCGTTTCTCGCCTTTTTAATTTTTCTCCTGTGATAGAGCAAAGGACGCTTGTAAAAATGGCTCAGGTCCCATTTTCCGCAAACACTATTTTCGACAATATTGTAGACAATGAATTAACGTAGCAAAAGTACAACATTAATACAAGAGATTTTTTTATCTTAATTAAATGTCTTCTTTTAGACTAAATCTTACAATAATGTAAATTAAAATATCTTATTTTTTTAATTGTAAATGTAAATGTTGATTTTTGAAGTGTCGGGCAGGTTTATTTAGAAGAAATGGCGTGGTGACTATAAAACCCTCAGTTCTATTCCTAACATCGAGGAAAAAATGTTGCTGTTTGGAAACACATTTGAATGTTCATGTGTTATAACAGGGGTCGGCAACCCGCGGCCCACAGGTCGCTTGCGGCTCGGAGGGCCTCTACTGTATCGGTCTATAGAAAAGTAGCCAATCATTGATATTGCTTTTGGTCTCTCACTCATTTTTCATCTTACTTACATTACTCGCATCTTTGCTAATTTGTCGCGTTGCAAGAATATATTTATGTAACGTAAATATAAAAACCATGGTTACGTTGTTGGAAACTCTGTTCAAGGAATATAATTTATTGAGAGAGAATTTAAAGTGCGATTTGTCGAACTTCATGACTGTGCAAATGAAATACGAATGTTTCAAAATCTTTTTGAAGTAGATGTTCTGAAAGTTCCAGACACTTTACAAATGGAGGTGATTGAGCTAATGATGCTTTGAAAGACTCATTAAAGAATAACGATATAATTGTGTTTTTTCTTTGTCTTACAGAATGCTTTTACGAACTTAGGACACTTGCGACTGGCGTGGTGACTGTCTTTAGGTGCACTTTCATATGAGAGAATTTTTTTCCGATATGAAAAGTATTAAGTAAACGATGCAACCGAAGCTTAAAGATAAACATGTACACGAACGTTTAAGAATGTTCGAATTCGAACGTTAACAACCAATTCGAATATTGTGTAGCTGGCGTCCAAGTTACAGACCCAGTTGGCCTTTCCTAAACTGCTCTTGTGTTTGTATTTATATTCTCCGTCTGTTGCATTCGTATTTATTGCCATCTTAATTGTAATTGTGTTATAGAACCCATATCATTTATTATACCAGGATCTCAAGATCGTTTCGGCTTAGTACTAATAATATTTTTGAAGTATAACTTCAGATTTTAAATTTGTTAAATAAAAAGTCAGTTGAAGATATGTGCGACCCGCGAGCTATTTGGGTTTGACAATGAGGCCCGCAGTTACAAAAAGCATGCTGACCCCTGTTTCATAATATTGGGTAGACCTTGCAAATAATGCAAGAAAGTACGTGCTGTTTAGCGTTACTGATATTTGTTAGTGATTATGTTTTGGGAGTCAGTGTAGGAAATATTAGCTGAAAATAGTTTTTTTTTATTGAGGTCTTCGCTTTTAATACACACTTCAACATTTTAGATATCAAGTAATTGATAAACTTATTATTGATCCAAGAATATGAACTTCGCAAATGCTCTAAAGATTTAAACTATGAATTTAGTTGGAAAAATACTTGAAGGATTTATCAGGCGCAGCAAGGAAAAATAAATATTTTAAAAATAACTTTCAGGGATAACAGTATGTTAAAAAAACCTCAACCGCTAACAGAATGTGAATGAAAAATAGAAGAACTGAATCCTCAACTCGATGAGAGTAGACACGTGTCCTGATGCGACTATGACCAAGATTTTACACTGTAACATAAATTAAAGTAATAATTTAAATTTATAAATTACTTCTTAAGAAAATAATGTCAAAATGTGTTGTCTTTGCCGTTTTCGCAGAGCAAGAATCCTAGCATACATTACCCTGAACTGTTTCTGATAGCCTCGGTATTCATTGGCTTTCTTCTGTATTGCCATCAGACGATCATTTATTTTATTTAATTTAGCTTTTGCCTCTTCTGGTTTGGATTTAATATCAATTAACCAGGGTTTCTGTAAATATTCAATTCAGATTTGTTTCCATAAATACATCAATTTTGCATCCTTTCCATTACTTACACTTACACTACTATACTTACAACGGCTTCGTCTTTTACATCACCAATTTCAGACATTAAAGCATTAATATCTTTGCTGAGTCTCTCTTGAAATTTTAGTATTATGGATTCTCGTTCGTCCATTTTTTGATCTATGAAGTTGCGAAGAGATGCTAGTTGCACATTAAATCCCTAAACACAATAAATGTAACATAAATCTAAATAAAAATTTACGATATTTCAAAACAATAAACATATCATATTAGACGAACCAGATATTGTGCAACTTCTTCCGGATTGACGGGGATACCATATTCGTCAATCAGATCATACACTTCCTTGCAGTAATCAAGGGTCGTCTCGAAGGAATCTGCCTAAAATACGAAAACATATTGTAATAAAATATATTTTTCGAATAAACTTATGTGTGTGGTAGGTCATTCACCAAGACATCTCTACATGTTTAATCATCGCAAAAAGAGTTTTGGTTATAATGTATTTCACGAGAAGAAATATTAACTTTAAAGATGCGAACGCTATAAAAGAAAAACTGGGAAGTACATTTAATTCATGACTAAACCAAATAATATATATATATATATATATATATTATATATCTATATATATATATATAGGGAGCATATTTTTGATTCACACCTTTTAATTGGTCTAAATGTAAAGAGTACTTATTTTGTTAGTCATGAATTATAAGTATATTAATATATATATATATATTTATTAATATATAATATATATTATACTATATATATATATATATAAATTAGTACCATAATGGCATTGATAAAAGTGATCCCGTTAAGGATATAAGTTTGCAACTAAGTGATCCCGATATAGATGTAAATTTGCTGGGTGTGATGCGTGAAGCGCAGGTGCTGTCTGACGATCGATTTTCTGTGTCTCGTTTAAGTTATTCGACCGTTATTTGTCTTCTAACGGCAATGCCCATCCCCCACTTCAGATTTTTTACCATTGCGGTATTAATTGTCTCCTTTCCGTGAGTTTGATGGGATGGAGAGACAATGTGGGGCTATGACCGGATTCGATGTTACAATTGTAGGGTGATGGTTGTGTAATGGCTAATACAACCGAGTGTCTTGTTATTTGAAAGCATAGGCTTCCGTGACTAGATTCAGTATCTATTTGGCCGTCCAGGAGACGCTGTGTCCTAGAAACAGGTGCCAACGTTTCGGTCGTTATGCTGCAACCTTCCTTGTCTGTCATGAAATTTGTTTTACATTTTGAAATTAATGGCCTATTAAATTGATAAAATTAATAAAAGGTTCAATATTACAAAACTCCAAGAAATTAGAGCCACTTTCCCAAGTCGTCAACATTGGCAGAACTATCATCACAATCTAGTATTACTAGGGTTACTTCTTACAGTTTCTTTCTTCCTAAATTCTACTGGTAATTAGATTTCTTTCTTTCTCAGTTATAGTAGGCCTTAAAAGTGCAAAATTAAAAAAAAATTAAGAACACTAGCGTAAAAACTACAATACCTTTGCCGTAGCATTATCTAGAAAGTCCAGAAACGTTACGAAATCTTTGGTTGTTTTTAAGGACATTGTAAGTTTCTTCTGGGCCTTCGCAGCATCCTCTATTAAACGCTCGATCGTGTCTCTTCCAATGCTGCAAGTCACATAATGCTTCAAACAATAACAGAGATACCAATAATAGCAATAAACAAGTACATCTTACCGGGGCCGTATCCATAAATTAGACAATTTATCACTCTAAACTGCGATTGGTTGTACATCGTAAACCGCGTCTTTCACTGAGTAAATCACTCCTCGTAAATGTAAGAACATGGCAATATTCCCTTGGCATAGTTTTAAAAGCTCTATATACCTTTTTAGGTGATGCTGCCATAGTAGGCATGCTGGGATAGTAAATGAAATTTAAGGATGAAATGCAAATATTAGATTTCTAGCTGTTTTATTGGTGTTGTTTTGGTATTAATTGGTGGTTTATTGGTATTTACTTAACAGAATGATGTATTAAAAGCCAGTCGTCTCGCCATCCACTCCGGCACCACGATTTTTCTATCCTACCCGTCCACTCGCCCCGCTGCCGCCCCGCCGGTGTCCCGCTACCGTCCCGCCCCGCCCCACTAACATTTTCTTAGATTGTGTTTATTTAAAAACTCCATTGGCACAAACGTGTGTTAAATATAATGTGATAAATGTCTTGTTATGAGTTGATGTCACTTTCTATTTCTTCACATGTGGAACTTGTGAAAACTAGTGACGGTCTTCGGTTCAACGATTATGTGGTGGCGCATGTTAATTCACTTATATGAGTCAATCGGTTTGTAATGGCTCTCGTAGCCGGCGCAAAACAGACAAGGCTGTTAAAACTTACCAAGGTAAAATATATTCCACAACAACAAGTAATCTTTCTGGAGAAGGAGAAATATTCTGTATAAAAGTTTGGAGATGCAAAAGAAAAATTCCCAATGCTTGTGTCTCAGGAATCTCGGCGATTGACTGCATTTCAAAATGATATCTTTCCAACATTTCTCTGAACGCAACAACATCTGAAGGAAATGAAAATTCCAATAGGAGTATACAAAATTCATACATATAAAAAATAACACACAATAATATTTAATTTCTAAATAATATTTCAATAACGGTTTAATAACAAATGAATACAACAAACAAATATATTTTAAAACAAAATGTATCTCAACTCGATCGGCAAACTTTGGTAGACTTTGTTAACGTGTTTTAGATATCAATACGAATTAGGAGTTGCAGTGGCTCAGTGGTAAGGCGATGGCTTCGTGTCCTAAAGATCCAAGGTTTGAATCCCGACATAGATTGGAATTCTTATCAGGTGATTTCCATTTAAGGCGACTCAGGGGTCACCTCAGCCTACTTTCTAAGAGAGCATCAGTGTCTTTGCAGGGGATAAAGGCGGCCGGAGCGTTGTGCTCGCCACGCAACCTCCTCTTGTGCAGACGGCTACGGAGAGATGCGGCCCTACCTTCCCTCCCGCTTGGTGCCATTGCAGAGACCACCTTTACCTTTACTATATTCATGAATGAAAACCTTTTCTATAATCCATCAAAGGCTATTGAAAACTGACCCGACAATTCACTATAGGGACTACGTGAAAACTTGTGTTCTTAAGTCAATAGTCAAATTGGATCGCGGTTTTTTCTGAACGTTAAGGATGGTTAGGTCTGAGAAGATCCATTTTTTTCTAGTAAAATTTGGAGAATTTGTATTGGAGCAGTATACATGTTCCCAGTTGGCTGATACGAAGGTTGCCTTTTATGTTTCGGGATTTGGCAACCCTGGTGTTGCAATCTGGCAACTCACAGCTCTATCGTAAAGTTGGATGTTTTGAGGTTATACGTACTCAGAACCTTTTTGACATACGAACGTTATTTGTGTTGTTTACAGTAACTTAAAAGATTCATCTTGACCCAACAATGGAATTAAATCGTGAACATTTTCTTGATATTATTTTTTACAACTTTCGACGTGGATTAACTTAGCAACAGTGCATGGATGAACTTAATTCAATTTTTGTCGATGAAGCTCCATCAAAGACCAGTGTTTATCGATGGTATGGTGAATTCAATCGTGGTCGTAGTTCACTTCAAGACGAATTTCGCGAAGGTCGTCTAAAATCAGTTGTCGTTCGAAAACCATTGATGCTGTGCGTGAACTGATATTGCAAGATCGTCTTGTGACCTATCGTGAGATTGAGCCAACCTTAGGAATTAGTGGGACCAGCATACATTTAATATTGCATGAACATTTGACTGTGAAAAAAAATGTTCGCGTTCGATCCCACACAATTTGTCAGTCGCTCAAAAAAAGGCTCGTGTCGATTGGTCGAAAGAAATGCTCAAAAAATACGATCGCGGTCCTTCGAAACGCGTATATGACATCGTGACAGGTGATAAATCGTGGATTTACGCGTATGAGTCCGAAAGTAAACAGCAGTCAACTGTATGGGTGTTTCAAGATGAGCAAAATTCAACAAAAGTTGTTCGCGCTCGAAGCACTTCCAAACAGATGGTCGCCTTTTGTTGTTGTTGTTGTTTTTTTTTTCAGAAAAACGGGACAGTCCCAACTGTACCACTAGAACAACGCAGAATAGTCAATTCTGAGTGGTACACAATGATTTGTTTGCCAGCTGTCTTCCAGGAAATCAGGAAAACCAACCGCCGAAGACGGATCACTCTTCACCACGACAATACGAGCTCTCACACATCGGCTCAAACAACTGCATTTTTGAGCACCCAAAACATCGATTTGATGAGTCATCCGCCGTATAGTCCTGACTTGGCACCGAATGACTTCTTTTTATTTCCGTACGTAAAAAACAAACTGAGAGGTCAACGTTTTTCGACACCTGAAGAAGCGGTTGCTGCATTCAGAATGAATGTTTTGGAGATACCTCAATCAGAGTGGCAAAAGTGCTTCGACAATTGGTTCAAACGCATGCAAAAGTGTAAAGATCTTCATGAGGAATATTTTAAAAAACAATAAAGTGATTTTCGACGATTAATATTTGTTTTTGTTCTCTAATCCTGAAATATAAAAGGCAACCCTCGTATGGACCTTACGTTGGGAACTAAATTAAACTCCATAAAGAATTTTTCGCACCGAGAGGATCCATATCACACAAAGATTCCTCGTACCAAAAATGGAGTTTTTCGGAGTCGAGTGTAAATAATAATATCGTGCAATGCATGCACTCCGGAACCTAGGAAGACGAGATTTTAAATTTTGGAAGAGAAGCATTAATAGTAGTCAGATAGCATGAAACGAACACAATCCATCCTATGTAAATGAACAAAAAAGTGTCCATAAACTACCAAAGACGCAAAATTACTTTCCACATTAATAATGATTTTTGAAGGGAATGTGTAAATAAAAGCGTTTTCTGGTTCTTAATTTACTGGTTTTGTACTGCACTGATGGGTCTTTACAGTGTTGACGCAAAGATTGCCGGTAAGATTTCCCCCGACTTCACTTTCGGTAGAGAAAAAATACTCATATGCAATATTATTATGAAAAATTGTTTCAAACCCCCTTATCTAACACCGTGGTACGCATTGATTACGTACACTTTAAAGGATAAAAATATCAATTTTCTATTAAAAAATTATCTACACTATACTAGAAAACAAATTAAGGAAGTGGACAGTCCCTCAGTCCCAATTCTTCATACTATAGCTATTGCAATATATTTTCCGTTTAACAAAGGCATGTGAAAAAAAAATTCATCTTGCTTATATTGTGGTCGTCCCAAAGTTTCCTACCACAGTACAACAATAAAAATACTAACAAGTAATAATAAAAATAATAATAATAATAATAATAATATGCAAATAACAACTTATTACATAAGTTACATCTATTTATATTGTTATTTTATAAGCGTAGAATCATATACCTTTGCAGTCTAAAATTGACTTAAGATCAGTTGATTCATTTCTTTTGTAGAATTTCCTCACAAAATCAAAGCGACTAATATACGTGTCTATAGCTTTATAGCTCACTTCAAAGTATTGCTCAGTGATCTTCTTCAAACCTTCTAAATACGAGTCCTCCTCAAAAAGTTTTCTGATATCTACGCCGGCTTCTAATGCATAAAAACGCTCCATTTTCTTCCCATTAATCATCGGTCTAAAGGTAGAAAAGTGGTATTAATTTTCAAGTTATACATTTTAATAAAAATAATTGTTTTAATTCTTTGGGATAAACGTGGAGAAACGATTAAGAAAAAAATGTATTAGGCATGCTCTGGAATATACTGTGATAGGTGGTGACAAATAAACAGATTCCAGGAACTTAATAAAAAAACTTACTCCAGGCCAAATGATAGAAATTAATAAGTATAATGTAGATACAATATATCGATAAAACTTAAACATAAACATCGATAAGATAAACATCGATAAAGCAAACTTTATATCCTTAATATTCAGGTAATTCAGAAAAATATTTTTACTTATTTATCAAAAAGCAGTAAATATTTTATGTGACGTGTGAAAGAGAAGAATAAATTGTGGGTTGTTTTGCAGTGCATATAACATATTTCTAATATTTATCAAAGAACAAATTGCATTCAAGAATTCTAAATGCATATACGAGTTCGACTATATGAAATATTACTCACTCTGTAAATGGATTGTATATAGGATCAGGTAAATATATATCAATACAAAACAAATATTCTTCCCAGAGTTCAATAAGTTCATTAAAACTTCCTATGACAATATCGTGAGGAGGATCAAGATACATGTTTTCCGTGTCGTTTAATAATTCAACGTGGAACAACGGAAACTGCAAATAAAACAAAGTAATGATTAGATCACTAATGATATTGACAGAGGCCATAGCTACTTCAAAAACGTCTAAAATACCCCGGAAATTCGATTATATGTCATAAGAAATCTACGTATCTATTTGATAACCTTGATTCATCCTTTTAATTTAGTGTCGTAACAAAAATATAGAATTTCCACTTAGGCATATAATTTGGTGCCAATCGCAAAACCCTCCAACAACCTGGGGGTTGGGTGCTTCCTTAAAAGCAGGGTTTTAATTTCTTCTTAGAATATCTGCCTGGTGGAATTTCACTTTATAGTTTATATATTATGGTTATACATACATGGGAGCTTCGTGTTTCACAATAACAATGTATATTCAATTAGCCTAAGTACCCCGCGTTGCCAAGAATTTATCACAAAAGGTTTTGAGACCGGAAATAGAATGAATACTATCTAGAGTGCATCCCCGTCCAGACCTGTCTTGTGCTGGCCTGCCTTGCACCGCATTGCCCACATCCACCCCGCTCCCGTCCGAGGAGGCCACTGCAGCTCCTCTTCCGCCTCGCTCCGCCTCACACCCTCTGGTTTTAAAGCTCACTTATAAAAAATCATTAAGATCGGAATAAAACTGTTGATCTACTGAAAACAACATAAACAATATTCTTCTGTAATATAAAATAATGTTTTGGTAAAATGTAGCTGAAGTTATGCCCTGAAAATATACCACGTTCCAGTGAACACCCTTTATAATCGGTTTAGCCGTTCCTGAGACAAGCCCGGACAAGTACACTGTCTGACAGACCAGATACATCCAGACGGACAGCACAAAATCGTAAAACTGAATTATATTTGTACATAAATAAGCTCGTGGCATTAAAGAATATAGCAATTTTGAAATCACATACTGATATTTTATCTATGTTCCAAATATGAATAAACGTGAAAACCGATTCAGGAAAAATTAAAAATACCTCAGGATATTCTTCGGGTCTTGGTTCTTCTAGGACTGCATCAAGCTCTTTTGCTCGCAACAAGTGAGCACTTGGCAAGAATATAAAGTGCCTCTTCAACATGTATTGCAAGTCCAGCAGTGAATTCTTCATTACTACGTGAAGTGAATTCATCACCAAATAGTCCACCAAATGAATAAAACTGGAGAATACAATTCATACTCACTATAATATCATATTTTTCTGATCTAATATGTAGCACTATATTGCTACTTGCACTATACTAGCATTTTATTTATTTATTTATTTATTTATTTATTTATTTATTTATTTATTTATTTATTTATTTATTTACTTATTTATTTATTTATTTATTTAAATAGCTAGTTTTATTCTGCAAACCATTTTAATGCAAATATAAATTTATAATAGCAATATTCATAATAATGATATACATTTCCACAGAAAAGCATTGCTTCGCTGCAAGCGTAGATAATGGTAACGAAATTTTGTGGAATTAGTCTCATTAAACCGAAAATCAATGTCACATTATGTGTTTTGTGATATGTTTCCCTCTTTACCGTAATCCACTTCTGAGATATTTCGAAAGTTTATTTTTTGATTTAAATTTTCTCCACCGTAGCACAGAGCTAAATTTAAGAGAACTTGTATTCTTCCCAAAAATAATGTTGAATAATTTAAATATATTGGTTAATGGAAGCTATTCCCCTGAAAAAAGTGAATATATGTACATATACAATTATTGCCCAGTTTCATTAATTTCTACAAGAAAAGTGCAAATTTCAGACACATGCAAAATGCATAGAGTCACCCCTGCTTTACCCTTTCTTTTGTTAATTTTACTTCCGACTGGAGAGTTGGGATGTGTTATTACTGTTTTGCTGTTTTAAATTGTGTTTGCTATTTTTAAAAAAAGAGCAATACCCGAAAATGGAACTAGCACATAAGTTCTTATCGTTCTTTATAACATATGTGGAGAAATTTAAAGAAAAAAATTGGACTGATTTTCAGAATTTTTTTCGTAAATTACAAGCGTAAGATACACAAAACTGCTAGCTTTTAAAAAAAATTCACAAAACAGTTTTTAAAGAGGTAATTTTGTACAACAGACTTTGTCTGACACACAAACCTGAATCCTCAGTTTCGTAGTTTAAAAACATTTATTCAGTACTCGAAAAAATCTGGAAAGTCAGCAAAAATTAGATCTGAACCATTCTCTTAAACGTCCTTCGCACTACACTACATTTAATCAAAAAATATCAATCACTGAGAAAATTCCGAAAATGTGTTTCAGGCTTCATGTGAAGTATCCTCAAAAATCAAAATATCCCGTTGAAACACAGAGTGACGGACGGACGGACAAACGGACAGATGGACAGATAGAAGGACAAACAGAGAGACGGACGGACTGACGGACAAACGGAAGGAGACATCGACAGATGAATGGACAGACGGACGTAAAGACGGATGAAAAGACCGACAGACAGACGGACGTACAGACAGACGGACAGATGGACAGACAGACAGACGGACGGACAGACGGACGGACAGACGGACGGACAGACGGACGGACAGACGGACGGAAAGACGGACAGACGGACGGGCAGACGGACGGAAAGACGGTGGAACGGGCGGACAGACGGATAGACAGACAGACGGACGGCCAGACGGACGGCAAGGCGGACGGACAGACGGTGAAACCGACAGACAGGCGGACGGACGGACGGACAAGTGGACGGACAGACGGGTGGACAGCCGGACGGACAGCCGGACCGACAGACGGACCGACAGCCGGACCAACAGCCAGACGGACAGCCGGACGGACGGACGGACGGACAGACGGACGGACAGACGGACGGACAGACGGACGGACAGACGGACGGACAGACTGACAGACGGACGGACGGTGAGACAGATGGACAGAAGGACTGACGAGCGGACACACGGACGGACACAAGGGCGGACAAACAGCCGTACAGACGGAGAGGCGAACTGACTGACGGAAGGACAGACGAACGGTCAGACTGACGGACAGGCGGTCAGACAGACGAACGTATAGACGGATGGACAGACAGATGCACAGACGGACTGACGAACTGACGGACGGACAAACGGACGGTCTGAGAGACGGACAGACGGACGGACAAACGGACAGACAGGAGGACGGACGGAGTGGCTGACGGACCGACCGACGAGCGGACAGACGGACGGATGGACGGAAAGGTGGTTGGGCGGACGGATGAACGGACCGACAGACGCACTGACGGATGACCAGACGGACGGACAGGAGGTCGAAATGACGATGAGACGGACAGACGGACGCTTTGCCGTCAAACGATTTTTCGGTATGAGGAATTACCTAGACATTGATTCAGGCTACTTTACGAAATAGGTTTTTTTTCTATATTTATAAACAGGATTAATCCACTTCTTCATTACGAGAACTCGGGATGAAATTTTTTCTGACGAAATTTTGGCCTTTTATGGCGGCTTTTTCGTTTTACAGAGAATCTGTAAGACGAGGAAATAATAAAAACATCGGAACAATTAGGGATATCTAAGATGATTTAATGGGAACTGGTAATATTCTATTTAATTTTAATGTTGATATATTCATTATTTTACTTGAAATGATTCTTACAAATACACAGAAAGACGCGCTAGTGAATGGATGGTAGATACGTATTACAAATCGAACAAGATATGTGAAAAATTGTTTAAAATTATATATATTTTTCAAATATTACATACAGACACTACCAGTGTATTTATTTATTAATATTTTCTATTAGTGATTTGAATCGCTTCAAATAGTTTTCAAGAAAGTTTCTGGAAATATCAATTAATTCCTACGGCAACAGAGAATTGTGACAAATAATCTTCATCGATCAAAATTCGAAATAGCTATATTTCCCTCCGAAGTGCTCAGTCAACAAAAAACAATTAGCCACCTCGGCCACCGGGGTAATACATGGGTTAACGCTTATTATAATAGTAATAAGCGTGTGGTGGTATCATTTCTAGCGTTGGGAAGCTGAAAAATCAAGAAAATGTGAGAAACATGTGTTTTTGGCGACCATAGAAGGTATCTGGGAGAATCAGTTACAACTGAAACCCTAGTTTAGACTAAAGATATTACAAAATTAAATACTGCGAAAAAGTCTGGGCTAAGCTATATCATCACTAATTTATTTATTAATTATTTATTTAATTAGCTAATTTTATACAACAAACTTTTTCTGAGGCAAAAATATCTTCAACTTCGTAGTATTGAATTGCTTTTGCAATTTTCGGAAAAACGAGCAGTACCTGAAAATTGAACTAGCACCATATTTCTTATAGATTTTTAATACTTATGTGGCGAAAATGTACAGAAACACTTTGGAGTGGTTTTTGAAAAGAAAAAAAATCCAAGCTCAAATTACCCCAAGCGCGATTTCAAGCGCAAATTACCCCAAAACTACTCACTTTTACAAAAAAAATGTACATGATTTTTTTAATCGCCATTTTGTACAACAGACATTGAGCCAAAAACCTCTATCTCCAATTTTGCCACATTAAAACTTTGCCAAAAATCAGAATTCAGCAAAAATTAGATATGAAACATTTTCTTAAAACATCCTTGGCACTATTCAAGAACTAATTTTAACCAATAAACACCCGGAGGTCGCGTACACGGTGAGCGGCAGCCCACACGGGTGGGGAGTGGGGGCAGCGCTCGTGGTGGCGGTGCTGGGCTGACACACGGGCACTCACAGCCCTCCAGGAAATCCTGCGACGAAGCTCTGATGGGAGCAGGAGGAGTCAGAATGAGAGGCACGCGTGAGTGTCGCCGTCGGCGCCGAGCGCGCGCAGTGACGAGCGGTGAGCGGCGAACCGATCACAGCTCTTGCTCTTGGGACTGGACACACTGCACTCACAGTCCCTCCAGGAAATCCCCTCGCACAACTAGACAAAAGGAGCACAAATAGACCCCGTCGCTACACGGTGAGCGGCAAGCCCCCACACCTCTTGCTTTGGGACTGACAGCACGGCACTCACAGTCCTCCACGGACAATCCTCGCACAACTAGACACAAGGAGCACAAATAGACCCGTCGCCTACACGGTGACGGGGCAGCCACACTCTTGCTCTTTTGGGACTGACACACATCCGGGCAACTCACAGTCCCCTCGCAGGCAATCCCTCGCACAACTAGACACAGGAGCAACAAATAGACCCCGTCGCCTACACGGTGAGCGGCAGCCCACACCCTCTTGCTCTTGGGCACTGACACACCGTGGGCACTCACAGACCCTCACAGGAACAATCCCTCGCCACAACTAAGACACAAGGACACAATAGCCCCGCGCTGCACGGTGAGCGGCAGCCCCACACCTCTTGCTCTTTGGGCTGCACACAGCAGCCGGGCACTCACAGACCTCCAGGAAATCCCTCGCAACAATAGAGCACAGGAGCACAAATAGACGCCACCGCGCCTGCACGGTGAGCGGCAACCCTCACCTCTTGCTCTGGGAAACTGACACACGGGCACTCACAGTCCCTCCAGGACAATCCCTCGCACAACCTAGACACAAGAGCACAATAGACCCGTCGCCTAAACGGTGAGCGGCAGCCCCACACCTCTGCCTTGGGACCTGACAAACCGGGCACTCACAGTCCCTCGGACAATCCTGCGCACAACAGACAAAGGAGCACAAATAGAAGCCCCGTCGCCTACACGGTGAGCGGCAGCCACACACCTCTTGCTCTTGGGACTGACCAGACACCGGGCACTCACAGTCCCTCCAGGACAATCGCCCTCGCACAACTGGTAGTACACAAAGGAGCACAATTATTCCCGCCAGCCTCGCACGGTGAGCGGCTGCGCGGGGGGCGTAGCAGTGGCTGGGCGCTGGTTGGGCAGGGTGCCGCCGCTGTGCTGGCCATGCCCGCAGGGGCGCAGGGCTGGCGGTCGGTGGCGCGGCGCTCGGCCAGGGCCCACGTGCAGACGGAGCGCCTACGTGCGAGGATCACCATGGTCCTGCGGCCCCGCGCCCCCTGTCCGCGGCTGGCCCATAGCATCGGTGTGCCTCGGATTGGAGGCACTGTCGGCGACGGCGTTTGGCGGCCCGCCCCCGCCGCGGCCGCCACCGCCCGCGCCCGCACCCGGCGCCCGGCGCTCGCCCCGGCCGC